GTATATGAATACAGGAATGAATGAATACATGAATGAATGAATGAATACATGAATATATACATGAATGAACCTGTCACTCGAGGTGGGACCCCCTTCCCGTTTTGGACATTTTACTACAAAAATCTTTAAAAAAGATTTACCAGTTAATAATGGACCATATAGAAATTATAGAGATTATATATCAGTTATTGGTGAGAACATTTTTTTCTCATGTTGATTATCACTTACTAATTAAGCAACTTACTCGAATATTTAGTTTTTGTATTAGGGTCTACATTTAATATATTGATATCCAATTACAGTATTAATTTTATTGAAATTAGTGATCTCGTTACAGTCAATACACCTCTTAACATCTACAGATATGAAATTAATTGACAACTTCGATGATAAGTGTACCTCACAGTTATGACTAACACTTAAAACTATTGAAGGTTAACACAAAATAATCGATTAGATTGAAAATGCAAAAAAAAATATGCTTGAATTAAATTAATTAAATTTAGTGGTAGTATGGATTTTAAAGTGAGTATGGTAAGGTAATACTATCTGTTAATTATTGTTCTTTCAAGAAACAAGCAAAACACTTTATTTTATCTATTTATATATTTAAGTACATGATTAATGGTTGCCAATAGTGGTATATTAATTTCTTTTGAAAGCAGAAATACATTGTACTAACGAAACACAAATGTTTACAAACGACATGACAGAAATTAGTCATTACCATTGAACATCAATACTGGAATACACAAAAAATGGATTATATGGGCTAAAAAATTGTATACTGTAGCTCCCTAATTCATTATTTATGTTTATTCAATATTCATCTTTAATTTTGCGCTCATTAACACTTCTTATATCGTGGTGTTTGAATGGTTTGCATATTCATATTTAGGTTTTAATATTCAAGTTTATGTTAAATCGTTGATGCTCAGACCATGCATGGAAAATAAAAAAAAATAAATGCTTAAAAATCAACCAATTTTAACAAAATGTTTATTTCGAAATATCAGAAAGGTCATATTTTTCTTGTTTTCAGTATATACTTTACTAAAACGACCCAAAATTTACTGGAAAGGTTTTTGAGACGTTAGATGGAATCTGTAAATACAAACAGGATTCCCCAACCACCTTTTGATCACCTGATTGTTTGCCGATGCAGCCTCTTCACTAAAGAAGATTATATTGTATGCAGTATATACTGCTCTGCTATATACTGCATAGAACATTCTTGTCTATATGATCTGGGTTAAGCCAACATATATATATATATAATATATTGTATATAATATATATAATATATTGTATATAATATATATAATGTATTGTATATAATATATATAATGTATTGTATATAATATATATAATGTATTGTATATAATAATTATATATAATGTATTGTATATAATATATATAATGTATTGTATATAATATATTGTATATAATATATTGTATATAAAATATATAATATTCGCTAAGGGGAAACTAAAACGACCATAATATAATAATATAATAATGATAATAATAATATAATATATAATATATATTATACATATTTATAATATATGTATTATATATA